GTGTTTAGATAAGACTTTGTTAAAGTCTGAAGAGACTGTTCAATTCCTCATGTTCCTGCCCTTTTTCTGTGGTGATATCTGGTTCCCATAATGTTTTACAGATTTACAGAAAGATGTATTAAAACTCTCATCAGGAAATGCAAGGCTGGTTCTGGAAACACTGCCTGACAGATGATGGCTAGGAGGTTGGTATCTTCAGTGTGGAACTTGCTTGTTATCTTCTCACGTATCTTGTATCTAAATTAATTTACAGTCTTGTAGCTTGAAGCTGGGTGTTATTTCACACTCTGTTGGAAAAAGATTACAAGCAGAGGAGTGGCATATCTCGAGGCAGTGCTATGGGTTGCTCTATTTTATCATGATAGGTTGCCCAATGTTGAAAATGGGGCACTGAAGCTCAGATTACAAAAGCTTCAAGCCTTCTCTTTCTTTGATAAATTAAAAAATTCCCACAACAACAAACAAGAACAAAGCAGAAAAATGCAGATTTCCCTATGAAAACAGGTGTTTGGAAAGTGCCCTTTCCCAGTATGATATTCCAGAGGAGTTTCAGGTGAAGAAAACCTCCTGCACTGACTAGAGTTTGTTACCCTGTGCAGAATAATGCTGCTGTAAGCAACATTTCCATCATTTCACTGAACCAAGAAAGGGGCTCGTGTCTAAGAGAATCTATAGGGTTCTACTATAATAATAGAGAGGGTGAGATTTCAGTTTTCTGCTGCATTTCCAGCACGGAGTTATATTCTGTGAAGGCTTGATAACGGCGTAATTGTACCAATTTTTCTGCTTTTTGGAAGAAATGTGCATTTCCGAGTCATACTTCAGGCAGTAAAGGCCTGGAGCAAGTGACTTCCCTGTAGTCTGTGTCCATAAGCATATGTGAGTGTTTTCAATTAAGGGTCTTGCTTTAGATGTGTCACCTGGAGACCACCTGGAGACAAAAATTCCATTGGCAGCAGTTTGATGTTTGAGTCACATGGTGTGAAATGCCTGGAAAGCATGTTGCTTGCATCATCACTTCATTTTCCTGCCTTATACATGCTTAATTGAACAGGACCCATGGAAAGCATCATTCCTAATATCAAGTCCTGTAATTTAAGGGTGACTTAGAAGGTGATTCTGAAGGGCACTTGGAGTCAGGGTTTGAAAAGGAGACAGTTTGCCTTGCTGACTTTATCCATGTGTGTCCTGAATGCCCGGGCTCTGCGGGGCAGAGAGCACCACGTGTTGAGCTGGGCAGGGATGCAGGAAACTGAGAACATTTTGCACATTTGTAGATAAAAATGTCATGCATAGAGTATTTAATGGCAACCCATGATATTAGTGAGGCTCTGATGTTAAAGGACCTAAACAGTGCTGCTAAGGACTGTCAGAGTGGAATGTCACGGCAAGGACAAGATGCCCATCAGAGGAAGAGGGGAAGTGAGCAGAAGCAGGGAAGATAAAGAAGACAGTGGCTAGAATTGGTTTGCTCTAACAATTTACTACATCAATAGTTTGATTTGCCTTGTGAAATTCATGGCTACACAGGCATTCCCAGAGAATACATGCAGGAGATCAGAAAGAAAATTTCCATATATGTGGCAAGAGCACAGTAAAGCTTGATGCCAGTCTTTTGTCCACGTGAATCTCAAATTAATCCTTGTTTTGATCTTCACAGTTTCAATTTCAATCTTATAATTTCTTTTTCTTCTTTCAGTGCCTGTGAGGAAAACTTATTTTCTGTAATTCTGTCAGTGTACAATTGGCCAAAAATTTGTTTGGATGTCCATCCTGCAATGGACAGACATTGGGAGCGTGCTCAGAAGGAAAAGCCTGGTGGTCACTGCTGAAGATGCTGACCATGGTGCACACAGGGTTCTCTTTGCCTTTGACTGACAGCTGAAGGTATAACAGAAAAACATGTTTAGGCTAAACTGTGGACTCTGTGTGTGAATATTCCATGGTGCATGTGTCGAGATCTTCACAGTCAGCACAAGAGTGAGCACAGTGAGTGCAGTCCCAGACAGAAAACCAGCACTTGGCTGGCAGAGCCCCTCTTGGGAGCCCAGAGGCCACCAAGGGACCTGGCTGAGGCCAGACTCTATTTCATCTTAGAGCCTGGCATTTCCATGTAGCAGTCTGATGCCCCAATCACTAGCCAATAGTTAATTAGGTGGCTGCAAAAGCACTGAATAGAGCAGTTAATTGATATGATAGAAAAATATTTTCTTACTCTACTTTTCTGTGTTACTGGACAAAAAAAAAAGGTTCAAGACCCATGATAATAAAAGAAAAAATAAAATCAGTTCTAGTAGAAAAAACAATAAATGCACAACCTTAAAAAGCAAAGTTCCTGAGAGAGCAGCTAGATGTAATTTATATTGTTTCCTCAGCAAATATTGCTCATCTGGATTGGAAGAGGGATGTCTGGAGCCATCAGGCTGGATGAACTTACCTGCCATAAGGATTCTTTCTTCTTTTCCACACTGGTGCGTAGCTCAGGTTACAGTTACAAAAGTGTGCAAGGACATTCTAAATGCTCTTCCACCAGCACCGGTAATGAAAGGCTCAAGACTGGACTTGGCTACATAGGCTGGAGTTTATACAAGCTGGGTGTGACCTGTGGTTGGTAGCTACTGTTTTTGTAGTGATATCCTACGTGAGCATCCACTGATGACTGCTTTAATTGCACAATCTTGAATCCAATTATCCTTATGTAAAACTGGTGGATGACTGAGGAAAGATGAGAATCAGTATTCTGGCATTTTAGAGAGGAAAGCATGCAAAATTGGGTCTAATGAAGGAAATACTATCTTAAGTAGACAGAAGCAACTTAATTTTAGATGGTTTGGTTTGTGTCAGTTTAGGTTTTTGCCCTACAGAGGGCAAGTGTAGACTAATGTAACTATGGTACATATGTAACTAATGTACTATGGTAAGCTGTGTGGGACAAGGAGTAATCCAAGTAGATTTATAGTAATTAGTGTTACTGCAAAAAAAAAGTAAAGCTACTGAAAAAGTAGCTTTTCCCCCCCACTTTTTCTTTTTTTCAAAGACATCTGTCTGAAGATCTTCCACATAACTGCATATAATTCGTTCTGTCTTTGCCACAACATTATTGTAATAATGCTTCCTTCTCATTACTGTTTCTGACATTATTATAATCTGCATAATATAATCTGCATTTCTTCTGTGAGGAGAAACACTTCCCAGGGAGGGGGCATTGTTGTGCAGTCAGCTGTGACTGGGGACTTGGTTAAATAAAGAGAAAAGTTTAATGGCTGCCTCTGCTTCTAATAATTTTTCTTTGTAGTTTGGTGTTCATCATACATGCACATAGTTTCTCTGTAGCTGTTTGGCATGGCAAGGTTGGTTGGGCCCTGGAGGAAGCAGCAGAGCTGCTCTTCTGGTGTGAGCCCTGCCCACTGTAATTACAGCACTCTGCTCCTGCAGCTCCCTCCTGCCCTCTCCTCCCTCATCCTGTGCAACAGCTTATCTGAAAACATGCCCTGACAATTTGTCCCAAGAGTAGGATGCAGACTGCTCTGGACTTCCAGTGAGCTGTAATGAGGAGTAAGGGGTGTCAGGAGAAGGGATGATCTATTTTCCTCATCTCTACATTCTGTCTTGTGTCTTTTCTTCAGTTCTGTTTTCTGTTTTGTTTCCACTTTCATATCAAGATTGCCAGGAACCAAAAAGGTGAATTAATTGCCTGCAGTTAAAGTACATATTTTAAAAAGGGAATCTAAAGAGGTGTTTTTTATGGTTTCTTGTGTGTGTGTGTGTTTTTTTTATTTTTTTTCTGTAAAAATCTGTGATTACATCTGAATCTCTCAGACTCTTAAACCTCAAACTCTGAACCGTCAGACAAAAATGCCCATGTCCATAACTCCCAACAGCTCTCTTTTGGCTTATTAATTCTGCTTTAAACTTTTTGTAAGTCACACAGCAAATATAACTCTTCAGGCTTGGCAGAGTTGTTTGCACGCCACGATTGCCCCACATCCTGCTCCGAGGGTGACCTGGCAGCTCCTGCACCTCTCACTCATCACCTGTGCCAGCAGCCCTGGAGAGGCTGCAGAGCAGGGAATCCTCACAGCTACTCCAAGGTGCCTTTCAGGGGAGACCTGCAGAGGCTGGGATTGGGAACCCACAAAAGAGGCTTTGGTCTGCAGACACTGACAAGTGTGGGGTCAGGGCTGCCCCGAGTGAGCCACTGGGAAGGTTTGAAGCCAAATGTGCTCCTTGTCCTCAGTGACCTTGCACTGGTGGGCAAGAGGAGTTATTCACCCTGTGTTGCTGGGCTGCCACACTACTGCAAAACCCTCCCCGTGCTTTGTGGAGCCTGGGACTCTGTCAGGCTGCATAAGAATTAAGTTAGTGTTTTGAATATGTACATGTGTTCTCCACTCTGTGCAGGCCTGTGCCCACAGGCTACACAAATACTGCCAAGCATCACTTTTCCCATCCTCCCTAGGCTTTTTTCCTCCCCATTCATGGAACTATAGGTGTCAAAAATACTTATTAGATATTAGATGAACAATGGAGGAAATGTTCCACTCTTCTAGGTTAGTGGCTTGTGACATGAAGAAAAAAAAATCCCCTTTTCGTTAGTCTTGTGATTTCTTGTAATACCCCCATAGAATGTATAAACCATTACAAAGCAATACAGTTGAGAGTGATTTTTATTTATTGCTGACAATTAGAGTGTGGTTAAAAGGAGATTGTATTAATTATTTGAGGAAAAGTCAAAACTGGGAGCTTAACAGAATGAGATTTGAAAATAGTGAAACTATTTCTATAAAGAAAGGGCTTAATTTTTTCTTTTGTCAGGGGGTGGGAGGGAAGAGAAATGCAATTAGAGACTAAATAGTTAAGCACCATAAAGCAGACTTGATTCTATTGCAGTGTAAGAGGTCATCAATTTTTGTGCAAAGTTCCTTTCTGTCACACTGTCCCTATACAGAGGAGAGTGTCTTGCTGTGTTAATGCTGAAATGGAAGGTTGATTCCATCACATTATGCAGGTGCTACTGCAATTGTTACAAATCCCTTAACGTGTGAAAATTTGTCACAAGAGAAGTCTACTTGCAGCTGTAAGGGCCCAGCCCTCCGAGGTGTGAACTCAAAATAAATTTTTGATCTCTCCCTCGGTGCCAGTCGTGCCAAACTGAAAAAAAAAGAAGAGTAGAAAAAGAAAAAAAAAAATTAGTTCAGGCTTGCATTGTTCTTTATGAGATTCCCCAGAAACAGAACTGCAGTTACTTGAGACCCAGCCTTGGGTTTTGAGAATTACTGAGGGTTTGAGGCTTTGTGTAGACTAAGAAATGAGAAAGGACAGAACCATCTCCCTTTACTCTCAAATGGAATTATGGAAAAGAGAGGTGCAATGTCACAGCTTCATCCTAGGGCTGGATGCAAATTTGGATAGTCAGCACAAACTCAGAATAGAAAAACTTTGATGTCAAAGGTCAGTGCTCTGTCCAGTGCCTGCTTAGTTCATATTCATTTTGGCAATAACGATTTTTCTAATGGCCATTGTGCTTTGGTTTGTATCTCCTTTTGGCCTAAATTGGCTTAGGCTTTCACTGGAAGAATGTTTTACTTTTTTTTATGGATTATTAAATCCAAATAGTTCCACAGCCAAAGCAAGTCAGGCTATTTTACAATAGAAGAAGCTTTAGGAAATACAAACTATTACTCAACACTGAGCTGATCTATAAAGCAGCAGAGTCTGGAGGAAAAGAAAATAAAATATAATAAAAATAACAATTTGCTTTTATGTTTTGAAAAGGCAAGTTTTTTCCTGCTTTAAAAGAGAACAGAGCTACTTTTTGTTTGGGGTGAACCAAGGGGAGTGTCTGACTTGTTTGCTTTAGCCTAATTATCTTTGTAGTATCAGGGTATTTTATATAAAAATAAAAACAGAATGCTAAACTAGAATAAGCTGCAGAGAGTCAAAAGAATTCAACACGTGCATTTGCTTTCTCAGGAATAAATAATGTCAGCAGGTTTGAGTTGTAAAAGAAGCTCTGTGTGGAAGGAGATTAAGGAATCATATCTACATATTTGGTGGCATTTTTGTTTTCAGGAATGGAAAATATAAAAAAGACAAATCAAGTGTGGTTTTTCCTTCTGTTGGAGAAGGTGGATGTGCTGTTGGTGATGCTGGAAGCAGCGAGGGGTTGCTGCACTTACTTGATCTTGACCTGCTGGTTCATCAGAGTGACGAGCAGCACGCAGCGGCTCACGGGCTCGGGGAGCGGGTTGGCGTAGGAGATCTCCAGGGACACAGCTCTGTTCACCACAACCCTCCGCGGCACCTGAAGCACAAAACACCTTTCTGATCACTCCCTGCTTCATGCTTTCCTGGAGTCAGGATTCGGGATTTGGCTGCAAGTGGCGTTTAGGTGACAAACATGAGCTTTCCTCGTGTTTGAAGCGGGATGTGGCTCAGCTCCATGGGGCTGTCCAGCTGTCTGCAATATTTTGTGCAGAATTGCAGTGAAATGGAGCCCTGGCTACACAGACATGTCCCATGAAACCTGTCTGACCTTTTGGTTGTTGAGTGGCTTTTTTTCTTTTTTGGCACACCATTGATTAGGATTAAAGTGCTAAAACAATATGAACTGGCTCTAGCACTGGTTAGAACTAAGGGTTTAAATCTTTATTTTGGCAAAGTTCTTCAAGGACAACACAAACACTTGCCAGTACATGGAATGAAAACAAGTACTGTGGAACAGAAGGCAGTGGCTTGTGACTGCGGAAAAAAGAAGGTAACAGAGCTGTTCTGAAAAACAAGGCAGATTCAGGCCAAGGTTCAGAACTGGCCTCTCACATCCTTTCATTCTCAATTCAAGCAGGCAGAATTTTGGAACAACGTCTGAAATGGCAGCCTAAATGTAATACATTAATCCCCAGATTCTCATCCTAAGATCTGAGCTCCAGAAAGACTTTTTAGCATCTGTTCAGAACATCAGGGAGAACATTGTTCACCTTAATGATGATGTTTGTGTCCTCTAAAATGATTGTCTTCTCCACCAGCAGCTTCAGCCCCTGCGAGCGCATGACTTCACACAAAGCAGTAACTTGGATCCTTTTGTCAGTGGTCAGATATTTTCCATAATGAGTATAAGGGATCTTCACCCGGATTTGCTTCCCTAGAATTCAGACATATGTTTAGGAGCCATTACATTTTCAAAGCAAGCTAAAGAGAAAAGGGTTATAGTGAGGGGTTTTATTAATAACTGAAGAGAAAAAAGATGGCAGTGGAGTTTGTTTATATTTCCTTCTTGTGAGACTGATTGTGAATTTCCCTCTTCTGGTGATCCTTGCCTGCTTTAACTCATTTGACCCTTACACTTCGGAATAGAGGATATTGGCCTGAAACTGAGGGAGTCTGCTTATTTGCATTTCACTGGATTCCTGACCCTTTGCAGTTCTTATGATTAGAGGTATAACTATTTTAATCTATTCCCTCCTTATATCCTTTTTATTTTACCTCAGTCGAGAAGAAAGTTTGGGTCAAGTTTCACAGAGATCCTTTTCAAGTGACCTGGTCAGCTGCTCATTGTAGTCCTACAACTTTTCTGCTGTGTATGGGAAAAATGTTTATCTTTGTAGCTCCTGGGGATGAAAAAGATCTCTATAATAATTTCAATAGTCTTTACTCTTCAAAAGAGAGACAGAGTTTCACTGCAACTTTTAAGCTTTTTCCTAGTTGATTTCTTTTCATGTGTTGCCTCTTGGTTGCCAGAAGACACACATCAGACTTTTTTTAGTTGTTAAGAGTAAGATGTGTTCCTATGTAATAATCACCACACACACACATGCACATATGTATACATACAGAAACCATGACACACACACACAGTGCTGCTCCTGGAGCTATAACGTAAGTGTAGCCTCCTGTGTAACATTTCATGAGATATCCACTTAATGCTTGAACTAGTGAAAATTTTTAGATGAAAAAATAATAATGTAAAAAGTACTCATAAACGATAAGTAGCTGCACTAGAAGCTGATGCAGGTATGATATTGGTGCTTCTTCCTTCCAGTTGCTTTCCTGTGGCTAGGAGCAGAGCTATATTGGCTCCTCAGGGACATTAAAAATTACCTTGTTTAGGACCAAGCTCCACAGAAGTGGCTGCCTTCAGGATCTCTGCCACTGCTCTCCTGGTGTACAGGATGGTGGAGGCACTCATGTCCACCCTGATGCTCTTGCGGTCGGAGGAGAGGTTGCTGAGGACCAGGACCAGGTTAATGTCTTTGCCAAAAACGGGAGGCTCAGCCAGCTTGAATTTCCCAGCGATGCCAGGGTTTCTCATTGTCTCTGAAGATCTTCCCCCAGAAGAGTCTGTGTGTCCTTCTGTGACACTTATTCCCAGTATCTTGCTCAAGGCCTTTCTATAGACTCGTCTTTCCTCAGAAGAACCTGGTGGAAGCAGAGAACCAAGTGAAATTCTACTTTTGCTGCAAATGCACTTCCTCTGTGTAAAGGTTTTCAGACAAATACAGGGTATCAGTATCACTCAGAAATGTGCAATACCCAAAAGCTCCCTGTATCTTCATTAAGCCTCCATTCAGGTTTTTCACAGGGGGTATACCATGACAAGGTGAATAAATCACTAAAATAAAATATGATGCATTTGTATTTGCATTTCTTTAGAAGTGAGATTTCTTTTTCTCTGGTCAGAACATGCAGTAATGTGCTAAGTGATACTCTGCTGATCTGATGGCAGCCAGCCTCTGTATTAAATATGGTTGCACTAAAACACTGAGGAGTGAAACCCTGAGGGTTTGTTTGCCTTGGGTAGTAAAATATATTTTATAGCCCTGTTTTGTGTATGCATTAAATTTTACACTTCTCTGGAAGGGACTAAACTCTATTTTGTATTGTCCCTTAATAAGGAAGATACTGAATGCACAAACCCAGAAATAGAACACCCATTGTATTAAGAAAGTAATCTGAGCACACTGGCAGAAATATTTTCTGAAGGCAGGGGAGAGATGTTTAAACCAAGGAGGTTATCCATGGCAGCTTCCCAGCACCAAGGATTCAGTAGGCAACAACAGGAGATCACTGGTGCTCATTCCTCTACCTTCTGGATATTTGTAGTTAGCAGTGACATCCACACGGCCGTTGCTGCCCACAGCTTTGGTGCTGATAAACCTGCCAATGATTTCAGTATCACAATAAACTCTTTTCTTGGTTCCATCATTGTACACAATCCATCTGTTGCAGTCGGCGTTCACCTCCGAGTACACAAACAAGGTGTCGTAATCCAGGTTGACTTCACCTTCTTTGATGGCTAAGACAGATGCAGGGCCACACTGAAAAATTCCTAAAATGTTAAAAAAAAAAAACAAAAACGTTAAACTTTATTAGTTGTGCTCAGTTTGGAGAAAGACTCTTAAGTCAGGCTGAGAGCTTAGGCTGTTACCTCTGCTTTGCTCTTGTGGAGTTGCATCTAAAACCTGCCACCCGTTGTATGCCCTTCCCAGGTCTGGGCGAATGAACCAGCTTTCATTCCAGACGTGATAATCCCTGGAGACAAAGAACAATGTCTAAAAAGAACAATAATATAGAGTAGTCATGCAAGCTTCCAGTTGGAGAGGAGTAGTGATTTTTTTTAAAAAAAAATCTAAACTCTAAACTGAGACCCAAAGTGTCAAGTTACAGTACCTCTTTCAAAGGACAGATTTACTGCCTGCTTTTGAGGTATAGACCTCAGGGCAGGGAGGGAGAAAATCATGAAGTATGTGGTTTGTTTGTTTTCCAAATGGATGTCTGCAGTATTAATTTAGATGGTTGTATTACATTTTGCCCACTCAGTTACTTTTGTACTACTAGTGTTTTTAGGTCTCCTAGATCTTCTGTATTGTTATTGGAGAGACGGAAGAAATTATATTTACCATGTGGAATCCTTGCTGATATTAAGACTCCTTCCAGAGCTGTCATAGTACTTATCGATACTCAGGTTTCTATCCACGTCATGAGCAGAGTTAAAATTTGAAACCAAACGAGTTGGAATCCCCAAGCACCTCAAAACTGAAATATATTTTATAGAAAAACAAACGAGCAAGAAATGCAACAGAACCCGCACAACTTTAGTTCAATGATTACAAATATCTGAGAAACAAAGTGTCTAAATATTTTGTGATTCTTCAGCATTAATGATCTTCACAGCACTGTTCCTCTTGTAGAAATTATTGCTTTGTAGTTTTGATAAAACCAGAGGTCCCGGGTGCCTCCATTTCACCCCAGCCCTCTGTCCTGACAGCTTACCTGTACACATCACACCTGCAAAAACCCAGCACTGGCCGTACTGGACAGGTCTGTAGTTGTCCTGACGCCATTTCTTGAGGATCACCACGCTGCCATCCCATCTGGAGGGGTTCTCATGCGAGTGGAAACTTCCTTGCCACTTCCCCAGGAGAACTCCATTGTCGTTGTCATTTCCATTGATCTAGAGGGAGGCCAGTGGACAGAACGCACGGAATGAACTGTCTGCAGTGCACTGTACCTGGCTCGTTCTGTTGCTTGTGGCTGGCTCTCAGTGGTGCCTTCTGCTCCCTCCTGTGGGGTTGGGGTTGGGTTGTCCATTCCTTACCATAGAACTGATGACTCGACCCACGTATTTGGGATCTCCCCTTCGGGACACGTCCATGGCTGGGTCCTGGCGGTAGTACAGGCTCAGATCAAGCATGGTGAGACAGATGTTTAGGAGGTCTTGAAACTGTGATCAGATAAGATGCATTTTTAAGGAAAGGTGTGGTTTCACAAGCAGAATTAAAGGAGATTTTACTGCATGAGATATCCCAGCCCAAAGGTGATAGGGACAGTGGGGCACACTGTGAGCAAACCACAAGTAAGGCTACCCAGGTTGGTGCAGTTATTATATAAACAGCAAATAATGATAAGATAAATGCTGTTGGAGACAGAATGAGAGTCCAAACAAATTTCTTGTGACTTACCTGTCCATAATACCACCCTCTTGCTTCAATGTACCTTGCATTGCCCACAAAGATTATTCCATTTTCATTTAGAACATATTCTTGTCTCTCGTTTTCATTGGACATGAAGACATCATCACCTGAAAACCAAGTTGGGCAGGCTTAAAGCTGAGAATACCAGAATCCTCTCAGAAACATTTCTGTCCTGATTTAGCAAGGAGAAAACCTATTTGCAAAATAGAAATGTTACAGCTCCATGAAGAGGTGCAGTTCAGGGATAATGTCTGTTATTATTTATGGCCAGGGAAGGTGTGGGGGGGGTGAAAGAAGGATCCATATCATATTACTTAACCTTTTCCCCCTACTTTTAGTGTAGCCTTGTGTACTATGTAAATGTCCCCTGTCTGCACATTGTGTTTTTGTGAGGAAGATAGGCAAAAGTCCAGGCTAGCTCACCACATTTTCTGTCTTCTCAGGGTAGTTAGAAGTGGAACAGATTGAAAAAGATTTGAAAATAATTACACAGATGACATTTTTCTCTTTTTTTTTTCCAGAAGCATTTGTCTTGTTTTAAGATTCCTAAATGAAGACCTTTGCTTGCCTGCTCCAAAGTCCTATCAGCAATGTTATTAGGATAACCTGCTCAGCCATTCGCTTGGAGTTTATTGTTCCTCATTGTTTTTCCAAGCTTATGGCACAGTATTTAGCTGCCATGAAAGCATTGGTTCTCACAAAGGCTTAGGTTGTTTTGGTTACTCTTTAGGCAGCAATATCTGCTTAGCTCTGCTTTCAATTCCATAATGTTTAAAGATATTTTCTGAAAGGTTCAGGATTGCAGGAAATACATACAAAAATATCAGCTTTTCTATTTTATTGAATCAACTTCTTTACCTTCCTATAGGAACTTCCCATCCTTCCCTTCCTGCAAATAAAAAAATTGCAGTTTATTTTAAAAACTGTATCATGTGATAGAAATCTGTTTTTGTGGTTGTTGTCCACACTTTTTAAAAATAATATCATCACAGTTGATTCCTGAAGTTTTGGGGTAGCATGGACATGGAGACCTGTGTGCAGTTTCAGGTGCTGCATTTCAAGGTGTGAACCAGTTGGAAAAAGTGGGAGGAGCACTAAGAATGCTCAGCATTCCTGAAAATCTGAAGTATGAATTAACTCTGAATTATTTAAGGTAGGAAGCTAATGGGGGCAAGGAATGGCACAAGCATTGTAATCAATTCCAGAAATTCTTGTGAAGAGGATGGGGCAGGGGGAAATAAAATCTATTCTTGGTGTCTGTCATACGTAGGATGAGAAATTATATACTGAAGTCAAAGCAAGAAAGATTTGGTTAGTTAATAGGATAAAGATCTAATAGAAAGGCTTGTGTTTTATTGGAGGGAATTGCCAGGGGAGGTGCTGGAGCTTCCCTAATGGCTGGTCATTGAGAAGGAATTCAAGACCTCTCAGGAATGACCTAAGTGCTGAACTGAACCTGCCTTAGTGCCCTGGTGTGGGACTAGATGACTTTCTAAGATCCTTCTAGCCCTGTGATTTTATTATTCTGAGCAATCTAAATGTCCTTGTATAATCACTTGAAGAACATCTTTTTTTTTTTACTAAGGTTTATGTGCTCTCAATAAACCTTTATAGCTTACTAAACTGGAATTTTTTTTCCTCATCCAGATGATCTTTCATGTATTAATTTATCCTTCACTGAACATGGTTTAATTTTTGTAATCTCATCCAATGGCATTAATATTTAAATCTGACTAACTATTTTCTCTTACACAGCTTAAGATTTCATTTTCCTTTTTAAGGGCCATTTCACTTTGGTTCTTGTTCTTTGATTAACAAGGGCTTTCACATTCTTCATGATTTCCAGATGATAAGTCTGTCACTGAAATCATTGTTATTTCTCCCTAGAGGTGTGGTCTTTTATTTCCTATTATTATATCTTATTTCTTCTCACCTTCTCCACTCTCTAAGGTCAGCCAGTTATTTCTGTGTGTTGTCCCAGCCCATCTGGGCATGGACAATGCTGTTTAATGTCACTGTGCCAAAGTCAGTGATGAACTATTTCACCTGAGTGTTTTTTCAGATGACACTTAAGGATCCACTCTCCAGTAGCTTTTCTCCAATCCAATATTTTTTCTTTCATCTGTAGTTCTGACTGGAGTTCTGTTTTCTTATAAGTAGTTCTTTATTGATATTACAGTTAATGAATTGTTTTCTGTATTCCTCAGCTTAAGGACTAATCTCCCACCTGGAACAATATCTACAGACCAGATTTGCCATTTATCCTTTGCCAAGAAAATAAATTTCCCATTTCCCTTCTGCTATGACACTTACAATAGTGGCAACATACCCTCAAACTGAATCTGTTCCTATTTTTCAGGATCAGGGAGCTATTGTACTCTGCAGAACTTATTCAGCAACATCCTTCATTCAGCATTAAGGATACTCCCTTTTATCTGTCAGTAGCCAATGCATCATCTGGTAAATCTGGAGGACTCTTCCACAAAATCATTAGTTTAAAATTGTAATGGGCACAGCTTAATTTTTCTGTTTTCATCTGAGAAGGGTTTGGTGTCTTGTGTACCACAGCCACGCTGGTGCTCCAGTTCAGGAGCTGTCATTGCTGTCCCTGCACTGTGGTTTCCATCAATTAAAAGGTACACACAAATTATTTTTCAGAGGTTTCTGGGGAGGTTTTTTGCCTCAGGACTGTGCAGAGATGGTCTGAGTTTCCTGAACATATTTGTATAATTATTTCTGTCGTCCAGGACTTGCTGAGCTAATTAGCAGCTTTTTTCATCTTGGCTATTGACGCATTTCTTTGTGGCTCTTGACTAGCATATGGTCATGGAAAAAAACAGTGGATGATTGTGGCTACTTTTCTCTTATAAGCTGTTTACTCACTGGGGTGGCTAAGAGTTCTCTTAACACCAGGGTGTCATGTTTTCAGTCTAATCCAGGTTTCTACACTATTGCAGAGTTGCAAAATACGAGGTTAGATATTTGCAGCCTCAGCATGTTGCAGGAGAAATGCAGAAAAGAAAAGTTGGAGCAAAAAGAGGTGTTCATTTTCAACCCAAAAGGAAAACATGGGAAGTGGACAGGAGCCAGCAGTGTGTGCCTGTCACCCAGAATGCCAACCACATCCTGGGCTGCACCAGCAGGGGTGGGCAGCAGGCTGAGGTGGGGGATTCTCCCCCTTGACTCTGCCTTTGTGAGACACCACCTGGAACACTGCATCCAGTTCTGGGATTCTCAGCACAAGGAAGATGTGGAGCTGTTAGATCCTCCAGAGGAGGCCACAGAGCTGCTCTGAGGTCTGGAGCCCTCTGCTCTGGAGCCAGGCTGGGAGAGCTGGGGGTGTTCATCCGGGGGAAGGGAAGGCTCCTGGGAGACCTCACTGTGGCCTTTCAGTGCCTAACGGGCTTATAGAAAGGAGGGAGAGCAGTGCTTTATGTAGGCTAAGTGAGTGCTAGGACAAGGGGGAGCTGCTATAACCTAAGAAGAGAGAGATTCAGATTAGCTGTTAGGTAGAAATTCTTTACCAGAGGGCAGGGATGCACTGGAAGAATTTGCCCAGAGAAGCCCTTGTCTACAGAAAAAGCGATCTGCTCAGTTCTGAAGAGCCTGTGATACAACCCCATACAGCACACTGATGTAGGGTACAAGGAGGGTGGCAGTAACTTTTTAATGTAGTGACACCAGATCTCTGAGCACAGAGCTGAGGTTGCAGCCTCTGGTGACCCAAAGAGAGACAGCCTGAGGGAGCAGCTCTGGGCAGGCAGGGAAGCAACAAGGTCAGCTGTGCTCAAGAGCAAGGCCATTGGCACCTACCTGGGCACCAGGGGTTGAAGAGTAACACAAACTGGCCCAGGTATCTGGAGAAGATCTTGTTGCCTGAGGTGACGCGGAGGCTGAGGTTGTACCTGCCAATGACGGCGTTGGCCGGGCTGGAAATGGTGAAGTTCATGGCTGCAGAGTCGCTGGGTCCCTGGGCAGCACTCCAGCCACTGCCCCCCGCCTCAGAGAGGCTGAATGCTGCCCTGGTGCGGTGAGACTCCGACGGGGATGGCCCTGCCAGAGAGAAGGAGTCACTGCTTTCCATCCCACAGGGTGGTTTCAACATTAACCTCACACTTGACATTGAGCGCTTGAAATTGGGGTGCGGGAAGCACTAAAATAAGGCAGAAAAATCACATCTCTAAATAGAATAAGGAGAGAACCACAAGGAGTAAAGATTACAGCTCTCTGAGAACATGGATCAGCTGTGGGAGTGTTACCTATTTCAGTGACAAATCCTAGGCTCTCCCCGTTCTGCCTCGGCCTGTTGAAGTACAGGGTGATGTTGAAGGCTTGTCCTCGCCTCACAGTCAGCTCGGTGTTGGCATACCTGTCAGTGTGGTGGTTGGCTGCGTTCACTGACGGCTGCCAGCTGATGTGTGTTGGGGTCAGGTCTATAAAACACAAGAAAAGTCATGAAGAAGCAACTGGCATGAGGTCATTTGCTGCTTAGTGGCATGATGAGGTTACTAAGAGCAATTACCTTTTGTGGGAGGAAGTACAACTAAAAAGCAGATGCCCCATTAAATTAAGTCTATTGGTCAATAATTTAAATCTTTCCTTGGGTTTTGTTAAAGAGCCCTCATACAGAGCACTTATGTACTTCCTATACAGGGTTGGATGCTCTTTTACCACTGGACTTAAAAGGAAATTAACAGTTTCACAATCAGCACCAAAGACAGTGTCCTGTAGCCCCTCTATGTTTTCAACATACATATTTTTAGGATCACAGGAATGGCAATTAGAACATCTTACTTTTCCTGCTTAGATCCTGATGCCATTTGGCGTAGAGGCAAGGAAAGATGCATAGTGAGAGATCATCTGTCTTATATGGATGAACAAAAGGTATTTGAGGACATGCTGAAACTTTTGACAAATCAATCCATCTGTCTGAGTCTAGCTCTGTTCCCAGTGGCAGCTGGACCACTGGAGTTCCTGTTCTACTAGGCAGTAACTTCATGCCATAGAAGAATTCTTGCAGTGTGCTTGGAGTCCCCTGATACTGTGTCCTCCTGCACATATGCTGTTATTATGGTCTGTGGTTTAAAACCCATAAAGTGGTTCCTGACACCTCAAATGCTAAACTGCCCTGTTGGCAAGCAAATATGATTATGATATCCCTTGCAATATTGTTTTCCCTTCCCTGTTTTCTTGCCATGCTCAAACCTGAGCAGTTATGCCGTCTTTGGGAATGCTGAGAAGCACCTTCTGTGTTTATATCTGCCCTGGGAGACTCTGCAAAATACACCTGGAGCACTGTGTTTCAAGCTTTGACAAATGCTCAGGGCAAGTACCTTGGTGAAGGCTCTTCAAAGTCAGTTTTATCAAGGTCAGTGTCATAAGTGCAGTGAGGCTGAGGGTGGGGGGAGTGGGTCAGGATGGGGACACATGACCACCACCATTTTAAAGGGAAATCAAAAGAAAACAATATTAGCAGCAAAAAGAACAGGATGTAAAGGATGGATTAATGCCCATGCTGTATTATTTTAGGGATCTTCAAACAAGCTTCTATGTCTATCCCACAGAGCTTATCAGTGAAATACTAAGTCAGATCTGAAACAATATATCTGCATATTAAACCACAATTTACATCTAATCCTTGAAGGAGATGTAAAAATAAAACTAATTTTACAAAAAAGTGTTATAATTAAATTCAAGGAAGATTTTTCTTTTCCTGGTTGTTTAAGACCACAAAGAGGTAATGTGAGAAAGTATTGATAGGCTGAAAGGGAGATTTTTAGCATGAATATATATAAAGGAATTTTTAGCATCAATATATAGGACAACAGCAAACTGCACTTATCTGCTGCTCTCCCTGCAAAGCTGATTTGTAAGGTTTTTCCAGCATTAAATGAGAAAGAACCTTGCTTTGCAGTTGCCCAGCTCAATAATCATCTTCATTTTAAACTTGAAAAAGCAGGTATGCTCTCAATTACTGTTTTCCTTTGGTAGGGTTTTAATGTATCTTTAAATTCCCATCTATTGGTTCCATACTCACAGCTTCATTAGAATGGATTACACAAATTTTGTTAATACCAAGAATAACACATCTCTGACAAAGCATTTAAAAAATGGTTCCTTTTCAAGTAATGAAAATTTCTTTTCTCCTCCATGTCCCAATATCCTCTGTTTAACTCAAAAATTATTCTCAAACAACTCTTAATAATAACAACATTAAAACTTTGGAAATGAAGTGCAAGAACAAATTACAATAGAAAATTACCTTCAGATAAGAAATCTGAGCAGATACCTACAGGGCATGAATCCTGAGGAAACAGCCCTGAGTAAATATCTGCTGAAGGGAAGCAAATGACTTGCAGAACTCACCTGCCATTCCCTCAGCTTATTAGAATTGCATACAACTTCTACTTTGTTCTTCAAGGATGTCCAAGTCACATCAATCATAAAAAGAAGAAACCCAGCAATCTTTTTGAGCTGTCAGCTGAAATTTGAGAGAAGGGAGAGGTAGTTAGCAGTTGTTATTAATACCTGTAAAGTTGTCAAACGAATTAACTGGTTCCTATAATATATGTCTGTCTAATGCCAGAGTTCCTACTCAACGTGGGTGTAATTATGGGAGGAGATACCAAAATTATTTACTCAGAGGAAATGCATGCTCTTGAATCCCAAGACAAGAAGAACTTCCTACAAAGATAATAGGTGTGCCATGAATAAGTTATCTTGAAGGATGAGGAAATGGGGAGCGTGGTGGGATGTAAAAGCTTTCTGAAGGAAAAAGGAGCATTTCCTGATGACATAACTTCCAAGCTGGTTAATGTCACTTCTGGGTTTGTCCAATAACTGTGGGTTGGTTTCAGAGGGTTTTTTCTTTGGTCTAATATTATCTCAAATACCTTCTGACAAATAGAATTAAAAGCTCCCACTAGAAACAAGTATCTGTTTACCTGTTAAGTTAGCTCCATATATTAGTATTTCCCAAAAGTTTTATTTCAAAAAGAACTCACAAATTAATAACCTTGAGTACTTTTTGTCAGCAAAAACTTTAAGCCTGTCTATTTTAACAACCATGACTATATTTCTTTTTGGGTTTATGAATATATTTATTTTTGGTGTTGTACCATCACTTTGTAAAAGAGTACAAGTAATAAAATAATGTAGTTTTGAAGAGGATTATCTGCTTAAGATTCTGCAGCCCCACTGATCATGTTTTAGCACTCAGTAAAGACTTTAAAATAAATTAGTCTGAATTTTAAGTTACAGAGAAAGAAAAACCAACTGAAATAACAAAAGTTAAGCTCCAGCAGCTGTTTCTAAGGTTGATTTTCCAAGACAGCCTTCTTTGTACCTTTTTGAGAAACTCTGCTTTCCTATCACAAAGACCAAGAGTACTTACTCATGTGACAGCCATGCTAGCCCTGTCCCAAAGCTTTTCCCACTTGGCAGCAGCACACCTGGCACAGCACATCTCCACTTACATTATAATTCAGTGGTTCCTCCTTCCCTTGGAAGCTTCCAGGATGCTCAGGCTGTCAAGGCTTCTTCCGGGAATCACCTCAAATGGGTTTGATTGCTGTCCAGAGCTACTTCAGTTGGTCTTTTTCTCTTTTCCTTAATTCATATTCCTTGGAAACCATAAGAGCCACAAGCCTCTGATGTTCCCTGGTGCTCACACACAGCCCTAGTGACAAACCGCATCGACCAGTTCTTAAGTTCAGGCTCTCAGTACTTACAGTGATTGCCTCAGATGTTACACATTGCTCCCACTGGCATTTGACTGTTTCCTTTCTTCTTCCTTGCCGCTCATACACGTAATTAAGTCTCAGAACACTTTTTCTGTCTTGGCTGCAACCACCTCCTTTACCTCTGCAAGGCACGCCCACAGTGGTGCTCACCGAGCCACCAGGAGCTCTTCAGACTGGCCCACATCCCAAACTGGCACCTGCCAGTCTCACCTTCACCACAGCAAAGCAGCAGCAGCTGCTGTTGCAATCCCTCTGGAATGCAGCAGTCATGGTTCCTAAGTGACTAATGACTGAACCTTGTCACAGGTGTTTTTCCTAGCTCAATTCCACCCACCTGTCAGCCAAAATGGTTCAAAATACTTTGTTCCTCTTTTCCCCTTGTATCAGAGTCTTGGAATTGCAGTTCAATTTGCTAACTTTCAGAGTAAAACTTTTAGATTTTATTTATCTCCTTTATAATTTTGTCTACTGTTCATATCCTCGGAGCAACTAAATCCACTTACAATTGTCTTGTTAGTACTTTTTGCTGTAAAGAGGAAAGCAATTTAAATTCCACAAAAAAATCCCCAAAAACCCATTGCAGAATCTCCTCCTTAAGACTGTATTGGAGTTGTCTTTTACTCACACTCATTCACTTCATGTGCAGGGATGTTGCTGGGAAGGGTCTGATTTAAAGGCTTCATTTCTGCTTGTGCAAGTCACTTTAGCAAAATCTGGGTGTTTCACACACACAAGAAATGTAAAAAGAGGTCATTTCGTGTATATCTACGTTCTAAACTCAAGGCAGTGCTTGAGCTTGAACTTCTACTGTGGTTTACTGTAGCCCAGAGGCCACCAAGATGGTCAGAGGGATGGGGCTCCTCTCCTGTGAGGAAATCCGAGGGAATTGGGTTTCTTCAGCCTGGAAAAGAGAATTTGGGTGATCTAATGTGGCCTGCCAGTGCCTGAAGGGAGCCTACTAGGAAGATGGAGAGAGACTTGTTACAAGGGTGTGGAGTGACAGGACAAGGGGGAATGGCTTCAAACTGACAGACTAAGTTTAGATTGGATATCAGGAATAAAATCTTCCCTGTGAGGAAGATTTTATTTTTATGCCTTGGCATAGGTTGCCCAGAGGAGCTGTGGCTGCCCCATCCCTGAAGTGTTCAAGGCCAGCTTGAATGGAGCTCTGAGAAACCTGGTCTGGTGAAAACTGTCCCTGCCCACAACAGGGGGATTGGAACCAGGTTATCTTTGGGGCTCCTTCCAACCCAAGCCATTCTATGAACCTGTGATTTGCACAAAGAGAGCTCTTGGCAAGCCTTGAGGAACAGCAGGAGAAAAGAGGAGGAACCACTGTGGGCTCCTTGCACAGCCTCTCTGTAGCTCATCCCATTTATGTCCAGTGTGGTCTCACAGTGACATCCTGTGATGGCAGCAGGAAACCAGGGTGGCTGCAGGTGCCCTGCTACAGCAATTTTGCAGCTACAAGGACAAAAGAACTTTATAACCAGTCTGCTCTTGTGCTCCTGAACAGTGAGAAGCCTTGTGACAGCTCGCAGTGCCCTGTTTAGTGTGGTGGAAGCTGGGGCACAGAGTTAAGATTTTATTGCTTCCTGGCCCAACAGTGCCAGAGCAGCAGCTTGTCTTTCCATCCACTTTACCTACACAGCCATTTTCAGCCAGAGCCTCACTTGCTGTTACACAGCTACTGCCCATAGACCAAGTCACTCTCTGGGCTACACCTACTCC